GGCTGCCCCTGCGCCGGGGCTCACCTGGAAGTCCCCCCGCACGGGGTCCATGTCCCACAGGGAGTAGTCGCTCTCCCGGTCCCCGTTCTCGTCGATCTTCAGGAAGCCGGTGACGCCTGGGGACAGAGGGTGAGGGGGTGAGGGAGGGCACTGGAGACCCCAGCCCACGGGTGGGGGCTCTGATCCCAAAGTGTCATCCTGGGAGTGGGGCAGGTGGGCGCCTGGCAGGCAGCACCCAGCTGGGACGGGGACGGGGATGGGGCTCACCGTAGAAGGTGCGGTTCCACATCTGGCGGGTGATGGCGGAGGCGTTGGCGATGGAGCCGCCCCGCTCCAGCGGCCCGCTGACCCCCTGGGCGGAGAGCAGCACCCCGTCGTGGAAGGCGGCCGCGATGAAGTTTATCTGGAGGGGCGGAGGTGGCTCGGGGATGGGGCACCCCCAGGAGTGTCTGTCCCCTCGTCCCCAGCAGCCTCCGCTCAGTCCTGTGTCCCTGGCTCCGTCCCGTCCCCCCTTGTCCCTTTGTTCTCAGCTTCATGCCCTGACCCCCAGCAGCTCCAGCCCCATCCCATGTCCCTCAGCAGCTCCATCTCCATCTCTTGTCCCCAGCTCCATCCCATGTCCCTCAGCAGCTCCAGCCCCATCCCACATCCCCTTGTCCCCAGCTCTGTCCCTTGTCCCTCAGCAGCTCCAACTCCATCCCCTGTCCCTCAGCAGCTCCAGCTCCATCCCATGTCCCATTCTCCCCAGCTCCATCCCCTGTCCCTCAGCAGCTCCAGCTCCATCCCTTGTCCCCAGCTCCATCCCATGTCCCCAGCTCCATCCCACGTCCCTCAGCAGCCCCAGCTCCTCCCGTGCCCCCCAGTTTTCCCAGCTCCATCCCCCCGTGTCCCACCAAGCCGTCCTTCATGGAGAAGTTGAAGTGGGCGAGTGCCTCCTCCTTCAGCCGTGCCAGGAAGGGCCGGTACTCGGGGTTCTCGGGCTCCTTGTAGGTGATGATGGTGACGGCCTGGGATGAAGGAGAGCGGCTGGCAGCAGGGTCGGTGGGACCCCACCGGGGCTGGGGACCCTGCCCGCTCCCCTGGGGGCCGGGGCTCGCGGGCAGGGGCTGCAGGGCCCTCGGCTCCAGGCAGTGCCGGAGCTGCGACCCGGGGCCGTTAATCTCGTCTCCTTCCTCCACAGTGGCTGGCCGCAGCGGGGCGCGC